TGTCCCGTCTGTCTCGGTCGGGACGGCCGATATCCCGATCGCGCTCCCTCTCCCTCCGTTCAAGTTTTTCTCTCTCTCGCTCTCGCTCCCGGCGTTCGGCTCGTTCTCGCGCTTTTTTCTCTTTCCGTTTTTTGATTATCCTGTAGGACGATAGGTAATTTCGGAGGTCAGAAATTGGAGCTGGGCGCATGACACACAAGCGGTAATGCCTTCTGGGACCCAAGCGACAACCCTGGCATTCACCTATCCTCCTCCGAAACCATGCACCGCCTGGTCCCTGTGTTCCATCCCACATATTTTACGTACTCATCCTTATCAACGGGAGAAAAAATGTGAGGGTCGTCACCGTAAGGAGTTCGACAGGCTGGGCATAATTTGTTCAAATTCTCTTTTATGTGGTTCCAGCAGTAGCAGCATATCTAAGGGGGAGGGAAATAGCCGAAAATTGAGAATAGGACCATCATTCCGCACCAGTAGCCCGCAATCTCGCATAAGAGGCCTCTTACAATAGCTAGCATACATGCTTGCATCTGCTGCCACGAAAGTTTTTTGCAGGCACGTATTTATACAAAGAGCACTCCGCGTACGCAAGCCTTCATACCGCTGCCACATCTCGAAGCCTCCCCCTCAATCTGCCTTTACACCCGCCTGCCTTACGCACCTGATATTCACAAGGACACGGGAAAAAATTTCGATCCGTGATGTCCAATGTCTCGCAGCACAGTGGGCAGTGCTCCTCCTCCTCCTCTTCATCGCTTTGTGACAAGGACATCCTACTCGCCCTGGCGCTCCTTCTTCCTCTCTCGACGCAGTGACGGCTCGTCAAGAACGATCCTAAGGCGGAAAATCCCAGCCCAACAACACTTTCTGTGTGTGAAATGGTGTGATTAGCGTTTTGTGCGGTATACGGAGCGGAAGGAGTGTCAAGTCACACAGAAGAAAGCATTTCCCCATCCCAACGTCATCGAAGTAATGACAGCTAGCTCATGGATTGCGACACCCAAGACACACCACTATCCCAGCGCTGCGACGGCGGACAAAGATCAAGTGGGAAACAGGACAATAGTACGCAATGCACATGTGAATCGCGCCAGGCTTGTGATAGCGTAGAGGTGGGGAACGGTGGCATGGGGTTCTCATGTCTCGCGCTTGCCCGCCCCCGAGGCGGCGATGGGACGTCGCTGACTATCTGCTTCTCCGCGTTCCATCTCCCCCGTCTCCGGCCTTCAGACCCCGCCTGCCTACACACAGATGGCAGCCAGGCGTAGGCAAATTTGGAGACGGAGGGTGTGGAGGTATTTTGGCCGATGCGGGGGCCGAGTGCCGAGATATTTTGCAAATCTCAGCCTGTCGTTTCTCTCATTCGAATAGTCATTTCTAATGCTACATGTGCTCTGACAGGCGATGATAAAAAGTGTTTAAACGGGCAATAATTTCAACCATGGGCTGTGAACACCGAAACAAACGATCGTCAGAGTCTGCCCGCGTTGGCTACGGTCTGAAGCAGCTGCTCCTGGTGGCGGCCCTAAGCTGCATTCTCCCTGGGTTCGTCTTGAGCGCCCAGGCTCGAAGCGTTGAATTCGCCGTGACGGCAGACTGGCCGACCTGGACCTTGTCTTCGCTTCAAGAAGCAGCGGAGTACCTGGCCAGCGAAGTTGAGGGTGATGAAGGCTTGTTGTGGTCGTTTGTGGACTCTTTGCAGCAAAGCCCTAGCCGATGGGAGCTGGACAAGGCCCTCGAGAGCCCAACCTTTGAAGAGGACGCACTCGACACCGTGTGGGCGTTGACGCTCAATCAGACCACCCCTTTGCTTCACCCTCTATCTCAGTCCATGTTGCACCTCTATCTGAGCATCAGGGCCTATTCGCCCACCTTGGAGATGCACCGGTCCCTGAGAAAAGGCGTGGCTTTCCAAGCTGCGGCGGCGGCTCCCGATCGAAGCGGTTGCCGTGAAGGCACCTCTACATCATGGGCAGTGGTCTCCCTAGGGCCAGGTCTAGAAGAAGAGGTATACTGTGAAGCCAGCAGGCTGGAGGCAGCCTTGGCTGCGCTTCCAACAGACGGGACGCAGGGCGCGGGCCCTGGGTCCCCGGAAGCCAAGCGGGCCCTGCCTTTCGACCACGTCTACCCTGGGGCCCTCCCAGCCCACCGCTTGGCCCCTTCCGTCCTCGTCACTCTCTATTCCACCATCGGCACCTCTGAATTCTACGGCTACCACAATCTCCTCGCCCCGGCCGCCGCCGCCGGGACCCTGACGTACGTGCTGCGTCATTACGTGCCCGCCCTCTCGGAGGAGCGGACTGTGCGCACGGCCTTGCAGGGCTACGGCGTCTACCTCGACGTTAAAAACATGGAGTACAGGAACATCGATGACTCCCCGGCACCGGGGAGCGCGGCGGCCACCGAGGGGACGCAGGAAGAGCCGCAAGAGGGAGAGGAGGGGGGGGGGTCGTCGGGGAGGAGGACGTGAGCGGCTTGGT